AAAAAGTCTGAATGGTAGGTATGAAAGAAAATTTAAGTGTAAAATTTATTCAATTTAATTTGGAAAATAAGAAAAAATTTTCATAATTTATTGCTATATTAATAAATTATAACAAATAAATTATGAAAATTTGTTAATCATTTCTTTCTACTTTTTTTTTTCTATATTAATAAATTAGTTGATATTATTTTTTCTCTCCTTTATCATTTTCTCGTTAATTACTCTCTATCCCTATCTATTCACATACTATATTTTTCTCAATTTTTTACATTAATGTTGTCTCACTCTCCACATATATCTTTCTATGAAGCATCTCCAATTCTTTGGTTTGTTTCATCATTATATATTTATATTATTGCTGTGCATTTTAATCCAAGTTGAACTTAATGCATGTAACTATCTTTATTTTCACTTTCTCAAACTAATATTTTTTCACATTATTTTACACTTTTATTACTTTTTTTTTCCCATCCATTTAACATTTTCTCCTTGTATTATCTGCACGTGTTTATCTTTGTAAATCTCTTTCTATATTAGTAATTTATTTTTTAATTCATTATTCTCTCCTCTCTATTGTTCTTTTTTAATCATTTGTTGCATATATATATATATATATATATATTTTAACCCATTTGTCTTCCTCTCTCTCCTTCTATATATATTAGAGATTTTTCAAGTCGAAACATAAAACACACGACTTATTAGTATTATTCTCTTGGTATTTACTTTTTCAATTACCTTTAGTCTACTTCTTATTAAGTTTTGTTAAAGATTCTATCTCTCAGCTATTCCTCTTATATTTTATATCATTATCTTTAATTTTATACCTTATATATTATTCTTTTTTTTTTAATCATTATACTCTCACATCTCTACCATTCCTTTTTAGACATTTCATGTTGTAGTGGTAGTAGTCCGAGGTCACGTCCTTCATTACAGCCCAAAGTCAAGTACCTTGGGCGACCTGATCTACTCCCAATAACCTAGTCACCTCGATGTCAGGGAAACAGCGAGCTCCGTCGAGTTCGAGTTCGTCCCCCTTGCTCCTATTCTACAGTGACTTCGTACATACAGAGATCTTTCAAGAGAGCTTCCTGAGATCATTGACACATATAATCCTGATTGCCCATGAAGAACAACACGTGGATGTTCCCTTTGAAGGCTATAAATACCCGCCAAGGGTCCTCCTCAAAAGGTAATTGAAACTAAACTAAAGCTTAGCTCTTGATTCATATCTGGTAGCTCTGATTATTGCTGATTTAGGTATCAGAGTGTCTACCCCAAGGACCCACCTTCGGGCTTTGCAGGTTGACCAAAGTGAAGATCTGAGCTCCGGAGTATTTTGGAGTTCTCTTGCAACTACACATGTATCTCAATTTATCATTATAAATATTATTTTTGACATCTTTTTTCCTATTTCAACATGTTTTTATTATATATATATATGTCGAAATATAAAAAAATGCAACTTCTTAATATTATTCTTCTCATATTTTTTTACTTACTTTTACTCCACTTGTCAAAACATAAAATTGTGCAGTTACATTTTGTAAGGATGCTTGCATTTACATTTTGTAAGACTTGTCTTCTATATGTTAATCCATCAAGTACTTTTTTTTTCATCTTAGATTACACAATAAAAAACAATTCTTTTTTTATCCTTGAATTTACCTCATTGGCATGCCATATAATTTGAATTCAATACTTCTTATTTTTCATTAAAAAAAAAATATTACCAAATTACTTAGATTAGTGACCCATCAAGTACCATTGAAGAACTAGTTGTTTGTCAAATGGTCCATAAACTTTCCAGTTTGTATGAACGGATGATCTGTTTTTGATAATCTAACCCCTAATTTGCTTATTACCGAAAAAAAAAAGAAGATTTTTTTTTTTCCTTTTTTCACTTTCATATTTAACATTAGTGCATACTTGGAGTATGAAACTTTCATATTTAACATCAGTGCATACTTGAAGTATGCCAATAAGATAACTTTCGATCGGAAACGGTTATTTCGGTTTTCGTTCCTTCTTTTAAACGAGTGGAAACCATTCCTCCCAATACTAAGCGATAATGACATAACTCCGCCCTTTTCATACTCACTGGAAGAGGCAAAACAGAGTATCTGCACCTCCCCTGCTTGACCCATTTTCTCTACAGGGGGCAACGAAAGTTCTTTTTTGTTCTTGACACTAACAGTAGTGAACCGTCACTACATGCCTTTAGTGTCACCGCTTGCGTTCCCTATTGTAGTCACAATATTTGAAAATTCAGATTTTCACAATTATCTGTTTCAATTCTCGTTTTGGATTTATGTTTTCCAAATTTCTGACAATGATATTCATCAACAGTTTTATCTCCTAATTTCTTTGTGCATGATGTGTTTCAGCTGCAGGGAGTCTTGGAGATCAAAGAAGGGGGCGAGCTTTGTTGGTAGTGAGAGCACTTGCTTATATGATAAGTGATACACATATACAATCCTGGCAAGGTTTTTAGTAATCTGCATACAAACTACATTACAAGCACTCAAATACTCAAATGATTACATTTTCATGTGAGCTTTTAGCTTCACTTATTTCAAGCCCTACGCAAACAACTCGGCAGTACTTATCGTTTGTAATAAGAAAGATGCGAATATATGGTTTGTACAGCTGCAAGCATGAGCAAGGAAACAGCAGCAAGGAACGAAATCAATGCCCATGGAGTGTTGAAGTATTTGTGCTTTAAGTTTGCCATCCATAAATTCCACTTTCTATCACAATAATTCCCCACATTGATAAATATCTCCGAATAGAAGTTCTTACCGGAAAACACAATTGAGTCGCATAGCCGGTTGAATGTGGTGGCAACAACCTCATCATCACCTAACCCATTATTAACAATAATTCCAGAGTGACGGAGTAACTCAACATCCTTCCTGGTGTTAATCAAGCAATCCATGAATGTGACATAATCAGTGACATACCTTGGGTAGTTGTTGTGGCATTGTTCGTGGGCAATAAAATTGCGAAGGATGGAGTCTGTATAAGCGTACATTTTTATGGTTGGTATCCACAGTACACCGTTCTCAAACTTAATATCAAAGAAGCCCTTCTCATTATCCATCTCCTTGAAAATAATTCTTGCTACATCGTTCTCACACTTAATATCAATCATGCTCTTCACATTATCCATCTTCTTGAACTTGAACTTGATTCCTGCTTCATGGAGCTCTGTTGCACTATGTTTAAAATTCCATCCACGATATGATGCTCGATTTTTGCTGTAATTTAGTCTTGCTTCAAGCGAAGGAACCCAGCTACCATGCACTAAGCCGAGTAGATTCTTGATATTTTGGTCATCGATTACCAAAGAAGGTTTAATTCCAATTCCATACCCTGGCATCACTCTAGAGAAGAAACGTAGAGCCATAAGAATGAAGTCCTGAACGTTCTCTTGATTAGGCTCCCCAGTCATTGGAAGCAGCTCCTTTAGTACAAAGAAAGGCAGTTGATTTTCCACCAGTAATAAATCACGCTTTAAGCTAAACCTGTTGAAGTTTCGAAAGTCAACATCAATTTTCTGCGTCTGAGTCTGATTCTCACGAATTAGCTCAATGATGAAGCAGCCATCAAGGAGCATCATTTCTACAAGTGCATTTTCGCGAATGTTATGCAGAGGTCCTGCATAGCATCCCCGAATCTCTTCTTTCTTATCTTTCAAAGCCATCAAACATCTATGCACAACAGGCTCCCCTCTTCTTTGAAGGAGCCTTTTTAGACAATGCCTTTTGTGCACTTCCATGCCTTTCAAATGATCTTTTCCATGATGATAAGGCCCGATTGAGATTATCTGAGGTTCGTAGGCCTTTTCATTTGTCTGGCGTAGTAGATTAGGTACTTTGAAACACATAGGTGAAGATGACAGCTCTTCATCTATCAGAATGGAGAGATAATGAGTTGCTCCACGTTCATCCTCCATCAATGAACTGCTCAAAAATATGAAAAACGGTATTATTGGTAAATGAAACTATAAGGATTCAACATCGGCTAAATTTAACTTTTAATCTACTAACTATTATTCTACTTTAATTTTAGTCTAAAAAGTTTAGTTTCTTTTAAAGTCATCTATAAACTTTGAAAATCATTTCAGATTCATCTACCTAGCAAACTTCCGTTAGTTTTTTTAACGGAATTCTATGGCATGATTATGTGGCACGTGACATGCAATTTTGAAAAATTGTACTTCTT